ACATCGATAACGGTCTCTGAATTTGGATATTTTCTCAAAAAATTGCGTTTTCTGTGGAAAAAAAATTGTCTCAAGGACAAATTTATGAAGTACAAAACACTACATTTATACGTCATATCACAAATATTTCCGACTTTGTATGGTGTCAGGGGAATTGTGGCTCAATGAAATCGGTATCTTCCTTTAGTAGTATAGATGATATACTGTTTTCGAACAGCCTCATGATTTCCCGATCGATTTTGACAGCAGAAATTGCGATTAACTTACAATAAGTTATTTGTTGGTGTTGCTTATAAGCTGTCAGTTATATTATTTCAAAATATGAGGTTTTTGGTTCATTAACCAATAGGGAGTTAATTCTAATGCTAAGACAATTTTGAATGCAATGTTAGATAAGCTTTCTTACGGACTTTCAATTTATCTTTATCACAATTGTTTTGTTTTACTCTGTTTAATTTTTTAAAAGAATTATTTTATTTGTTTTAATTTTAGGGTTTATATTGCGAAACGTTTTTGTTAAACGCAAGGATTTAGAATAGGTCTGATCTTGACAAAAAAGTTAATCGCCATATGCATTGTACACATTTTGAGGAAAAGCAATTACCCTGAGTGCCTTTTTCTATTGGCATTAATTGTTAAATTGAATAATGGGATATAAATCGTCGCAAGCATTTTTAAACTGTCTGTTTAATGATATTGATGTAGTTTCTATTTAATAACACCTTACTCTGTGCATGAATATAAATATATATATATATGGCAGTCAGCAGGGTTTAAGAACATCAGTTGTTCGACCTGCTAGTCAAATGCGTTTTGTTAAAATATACTCTTTCACTCATTTGGTCTTTTGGAATATGTTGTTTGTGCTGTATTTAGACCCCTCTACCAAGAAATTTGTTTTGCATGCACACGTATAAAAATTGCGGTTGTTTTCCAACGCAATCATAGGTTTGAACGTTGTTTTCAATTTAGACTTGTTTATATTTTTTCGTTTGGGCTTGTATTATGTTTGCCTTTGGGTTTATATGATCCGTTCATCCTATTTTGACTATTTCAAAATTCAAGAGTCTATCCTAAATTGAGGTAAATTATATGGCCTTCCAAATACCGTTTCGAATCCTAACATCACTGAAGAAACATTAATTTTCAAAATCCGGATATGGTGTGCAAATTTTTGCACCTCATGTTTGCGGTATACCATCATTTCCGCAAGTTTATTGTTTTCTGTTCAGTAATAAACTAATAATAAGATCTTTTTTGTTACATCTTGTGAATCGTTTATTTGGCAATCGCCAATGGCAGTCAGCAGGGTTTAAGAACATCAGTTGTTCGACCTGCTAGTCAAATGCGTTTTGTTAAAATATACTTTTGCACTCATTTGGTCTTTTGGAAAATGTTGTTTGTGTTGTATTTAGACCCCTCTACCAAGAAATTTGTTTTGCATGCACACGTATAAAAATTGCGGTTTTTATCCAACGCAATCATAGGTTTGAACGTTGTTTTCAATTTAGACTTGTATATATATATATATATATATATATATATATATATAATTCGTCTAAACATCAGCCCAACAATGTTAGATCTGTAAATTTGCTTTCGCAAATTTTTCGTTTTTCCCTCGCCGGGATTCGAACTCATGCTACTGAGATATCGTGGGACCAAATCGCCTTGCACTATATCCGACGCGCTAGACCACTCGACCACCTAGGCTCTACATATAATAAAGCTTTCGGTGGCCGGGTGTGACCTTTCCTCGTCAGGTTTAATCTAGCGTCGTAATACAGTACATGATATATAAGGCATGAAGATGGAATTGTTACAGATCAGCTGAATTATCTAATAATCTAAAATTTCCAAACACGGCGCAACGACATACCTAAAATAAAAAAAGTAGTAATTTGCGATATGAGCTAGCACAACTTAAAATTCCAAAGGGGACGACAGTTAAGATGTTACAACAACTGCATGGAAATACATTCCCAATAAACAGCACTGACCGATCTAAGCTTGTGTAATATTTCAAATTTGACAACGGTAGAGTAATTAAAACAGAGGCTGCGTATTTAAACACCCCAAATAAATAGCAGTTTGATAATGATAAGAAAAATAATTGAACGTGACTGCGTACTTTTACAACCATCCCAAATGAGTAGAACCCTGTAATTAAAACTAGTATAATTAAAAAATTCCTTAACAATGTAGGAGTTTAGTTCAGAAGCCGGAGTTACTGGAAACAAGTGATGGCATGAAAAAGAGTGATGATAGGGAAAATGAGTGAAATATTCTATGTTTTTTTTTTCATTTATGTCCTCTGGGGAAACTCCTTAGCTTATCCAAAACCTTTCCCTAGCAAGTCTGTCGGCCCTTGACCAACCCTCGTTGTGGTGTATGATTGTGATGGTAAGGTTTTTGAACTCAGCTTGGGCGTGCCCAGGTGATCTCAAATGACGACTTACGTCGTCACCTTTGGAATTTTAAGTTGTGCTAGCTCATATCGCAAATTATTACTATTTTGTGAAGGTATGTCGTTGCGCCGTGTTTGGAAATTTTAGATTTGTACTAGCGTCTCTATGATGTTCTGGTAAAACTCTTTGATTGTATAGAAATCAAGATTGCTATAGTTTTATAATCAGAATAGATTGATAGGATTTATTTTACATCGTGATCATACTGATGAAGGATAAATGTATCCGAAATATTTATAGTTACATTTATTTGTTGGTGATGTTGTACCCTTTTAAACTGGTTATATATTATATTTTGTAGTGTACTGTATCATAATTATATGATCCATCGCCCCGTAAGATTCATCGTTGGCTATTATTCAGTCATTTTATATATATGAATATATAAAAAAAGAAAAAATTAAAAATGCATTAATTTGGACAATATAGATTTTCTTTTTTTCCTTAATTTCCGTCAAATTATAAACCTTATCCTTTTTGTTTTAAATAATGGTATGATACCTTTATACTGGTACATGATTCAGTCATAAGGCATTTCGTATTAGTTTTATAAACATGTTACCATTGACAAAGTCAACCATAAATGACTTTGTTTTAGAAGTAAGCTTGAAGTAGTAATCTTTAACTAATTTCTTGGACTTACACATGTTACATAACATGCATAATTTCCATCTTCATTTTCTAATAACTAAACTTGAAGTTTATTCTAGGACGAGAGATCTTTAATAATTAATCTCTAAAACACTTGGTTTATGTCTATACGGTTATTTTTGTACAAGTCAAATGAAATTGATTAATTTGATTAAATGTTTTGTTTTGTTTTATATTCGGGGTATTCTTGAACGAAAGACAATCATCATATCAAATAGGGTACATACATGCAACTGTAAAAAAATGCAATTCAATCTTGTTTTTGTATTTGTTAATAGATTGTTTGTGTTTATTAATGTTGATGTGTAAATGTAGAAACAATTTAGAGGTTTGGTGGATTTATGATCGCTTGTAGGCCATCAAATGTTAATTTATCTATAATTGGTACTGTTATAACTATTTCTCTAATTCTTACTCGATTTATCCTTTTCCCGACCTATTGATTATCTTTATTTAATCAACGTGTGATTCGTTTGATTTCATTTCTTCATTGGTCAATATTCGATTATGACGTCAAAATTGTCTTGCTCTCCTCTGAAACTACCATTGTGACGTCATGAAAAAAGGCGACCATGCCTGATGACGTCACAGGAAGCTTAAGAACACATCTTTTTTGCAGATCATTCGAAACGAAGGATTAAATTTGTCTGTATATCGATTAAAAATCATTAGAGAAACAGATTCCACCACCAAATCTCTTGCAATACGATATGTATCCACTCTCGGCGAGCCTCGCGTTTTAAATTTGAAAATTTGTCTGTCTCGAGTGGATAAATATATCTTGTCTTGGGGAGGGATAAATCCTACTTTGTAAAGAATCACTCTGATTCCAAAAAAAAATTCGCTGAAACTGACATTATCAAGATACTTGATTTCTTGATTGACAACATATTTGTTACGTTTGGAAGACGTGTTTTTCAACAGACTGTCGGAATTCCAATGGAAACCAATTGTGCCCCTCTTCTTGCCGACTTGTTTCTTTATTATTATGAGGCTGACTTCATACAGGAACTTCTTAGGAAGAAAGATAAGAAGTTAGCAATATCCTTTAACTCTACGTTCCGCTATATAGATGATGTTCTCTCACTAAATAATACAAAATTTGGTGACTATGTTGAACGAATCTTTCCCATCGAACTAGAAATAAAGGATACTACAGATACAGTTAAGTCTGCCTCATATCTTGACTTACATCTAGAAATTGACAATGAGGGTCGGTTGAAAACAAAACTTTACGACAAAAGAGATGATTTCAGCTTCCTAATTGTGAACTTTCCATTTCTATGTAGCAACATTCCAGCAGCGCCTGCGTACAGTGTATATATGTCGCAGTTGATACGATATTCCCGGGCTTGTGTTTTCTATCATGATTTCCTTGATAGAGGATTGCTGCTCACAAGGAAGCTATTAAATCAAGAGTTCCAAATGGTGAAGTTGAAGTCATCCCTTCGTAAATTTTACGGACGCCGTCACGAGTTGGTTGACCGTTATGGAATAACCGTTTCACAGATGATATCGGATATGTTCCTTATGTCGTAACTACAATACCCTCCCTTTTCACGAATGTGACTTACCGAATTAGACTATTTACCGGATGTGTAATAACATAAGCAACACGACGGGCGCAACATGTGGAGCAGGATCTGCTTACCCTTCCGGAGCACCTGAGATCACCCCAAGTTTTTGGTGGGTTCGTGTTGCTTAGTCTTTGGTTTTCTATGTTGTGTCATCTGTACTATTGTTTGTCTTTTTGTTTTTGCCATGGCGTTGTCAGTTTGTTTTCGATCTATGAGTTTGACTGTTCCTCTGGTATCTTTCGTCCCTTTTTGATGCAGTAGTAGAATCTTTATGTACCATGCTATGCTTTATTTTTCAGTATCTAGCACAACAGATATCACACCTGGTAAGTTCTTTATCTTTACTATATAATCACAATTGTTTCAAACATATTGTCGCAAAATATATTAAATTAGCTATTAAGTGTTGAATCATCTTGTTAATGAGTACTTCTTGTTTGGTGTTAAATGATGACCATCTATTGTGATAGACTATATGTCCATAAACGAATTCATAGTTTTACTTAATATGAAGACGATGTGGGGTTTGCAACAAATCATATGAGAATCATACGACACCAAACATGCAAAAGTGAGATTGTATGGAGAAAGAAGTTAAAAATGGTCATTATTTACTATTTGAACGTATCAAAAATGCGGATAATCCGTGAAATTGCACATTTATTTTGACGAGAAAAATGACGTTGAGAGAATTAGAATTTGCAATTAGGATGACTGTGTGTTATTTCAAAAGCAGTATTAGAAACAGTCATCGTATAATGTTAATTTTATCATGTCAGCGGCAGAGTCTTTACAAGCAGGTGGCATCATTCTATCCTAGTGTTTTTACCTTGAAATGTAAATTTTAGTTGAAAAGACCTCAAATTCAAATATTTATTAATTGGGTTGATGGTAGTACAGAATCAATGTAATTAATTTCACTTTGTTGAAGGGTTAATCCTCTTTGGACATTGAAATTGATATTAAGTCTTTGAATTTAAGCCAAATTGACATGGAAAGTTTCAAATCAATTCATTTTAATTTATTTATATGAGTTAGAAATTATCAGACACATGTTATACATTTTGCAAAAAACATCAGTTAAAACGAATGGTTATGTAATGATGTTATGATTCTAATGAAGATTTTGATATCTTTCTGCGTTTAAAACATTGTTCCTGTACATTATCAACGTTCTTTTATATATAGATATACAATGTATGCACGTTTGTTGAATATGAAAATCAGCTTGATACTGTTCAGAATAGTTATTTGTCAGAAATTTAAAACTGTTTGTTTGTATAGAAATCAAGATTGCTATAGTTTTAAAATCAGAATAGATTGATAGGATTTATTTTACATCGTGATCATACTGATGAAGGATATCTGTTATCCGAAATATATATAGTTACATTTGTTCATTTTATTGTTATTTTTTGGTGATGTAGTACCCTTTTAGACTGGTTATATATTATATTTTGTAGTGTACTGTATCATAATTATATGATCCATCGCCCCGTAAGATTTATCTTTGGCTATTATTCAGTCATTTTATATATATAAATATATAAAAGAAACATTAAAAATGCATTATTTTGGACAATATAGATTTTCTTTTTTTCCTTAATTTCCATCAAATTATAAACCTTATCCTTTTTGTTTTAAATAATGGTATGATACCTTTATACTGGTACATGATTCAGTCATAAGGCATTTCGTATTAGTTTTATAAACATGTTACCATTGACAAATACAACTATAAAGGGCTTTGTTTTAGAAGTTAGCTTGAAGTAGTAATCTTTAACTAATTTGTTGGACTTACACATGTTACATAACATGCATAATTTCCATCTTGATTTTCTAATAACTAAACTTGAAGTTTATTCTAGGACGAGAGATCTTTAATAATTAATCTCTAAAACACTTGGTTTATGTCTATACGGTTATTTTTGTACAAGTCAAATGAAATTGATTAATTTGATTAAATATTTTGTTTTGTTTTATAATCGGGGTATTCTTGAACGAAAGACAGTCATCATATCAAATAGGGTACATAAATGCAACTGAAAAAAACATGCAATTCAATCTTGTTCTTGTATTTGTTAATAGATTGTTTGTGTTTATTAATGTTGATGTTGTGTAAATGTAGAAACAATTTAGAGTTTTGGTGGATTTATGATCGCTTGTAGGCCATCAAATGTTAAATTATCTATAATTGGTACTGTTATAACTATTTCTCTAATTCTTACTCGATTTATCCTTTCCTGACCTATTGATTATCCTTATTTATTTAACGTGTGATTCGTTTGATTTCATTTCTTCATTGGTCAATATTCGATTATGACGTCAAAATTGTCTTGCTCTCCTCTGAAACTACCATTGTGACGTCATGAAAAAAGGCGACCATGCCTGATGACGTCACAGGAAGCTTAAGAACACATCTTTTTTGCAGATCATTCGAAACGAAGGATTAAATTTGTCTGTATATCGATTAAAAATCATTAGAGAAACAGATTCCACCACCAAATCTCTTGCAATACGATATTTATCCACTCTCGGCGAGCCTCGCGTTTTAAATTTGAAAATTTGTCTGTCTCGAGTGGATAAATATATCTTGTCTTGGGGAGGGATACATCCTACTTTGTAAAGAATCACTCTGATTCAAACAAAAAAATCTCTGAAACTGACATTATCAAGATGCTTAATTTCTTGATTGACAACATATTTGTTACGTTTGGAGGACGTGTTTTTCAACAGACTGTCGGAATTCCAATGGAAACCAATTGTGCCCCTCTTCTTGCCGACTTGTTTCTTTATTATTATGAGGCTGATTTCATACAGGAACTTCTTAGGAAGAAAGATAAGAAGTTAGCAATATCCTTTAACTCTACGTTCCGCTATATAGATGATGTTCTCTCACTAAATAATACAAAATTTGGTGACTATGTTGAACGAATCTTTCCCATCGAACTAGAGATAAAGAATACTACAGATACAGTTAAGTCTGTCTCATATCTTGACTAACATCTAGAAATTGACAATGAGGGTCGGTTGAAAACAAAACTTTACGACAAAAGAGATGTTTTCAGCTTCCCAATAGTGAACTTTCCATTTCTATGTAGCAACATTCCAGCAGCGCCTGCGTACAAAGTATACATCTCCCAATTGATACGATATTCCCGGGCTTGTGTTTCCTATCATGATTTCCTTGATAGAGGATTGCTGCTCACTAGGAAGCTATTAAATCAAGAGTTCCAAATGGTGAAGTTGAAGTCATCCCTTTGTAAATTTTACGGACGCCGTCACGAGTTGGTTGACCGTTATGGAATAACCGTTTCACAGATGATATCGGATATGTTTCTTATGTCGTAACTACAATACCCTCCCTTTTCACGAATGTGACTTACCGAATTAGACTATTTACCGGATTTGTAATAACATAAGCAACTAGACGGGTGCCACTTGTGGAGCAGGATCTGCTAACCCTTCCGGAGCACCTGAGATCACCCCCAGTTTTTTGTGGGGTTCGTGTTGCTTAGTCTTTGGTTTTCTATGTTGTGTTATCTGTACTATTGTTTGTCTTTTTGTTTTTGCCATGGCGTTGTCAGTTTGTTTTCGATCTATGAGTTTGACTGTTCCTCTGGTATCTTTCGTCCCTCTTTGATGCAGTAGTAGAATCTTTATGTACCATGCTATGCTTTATTTTTCAGTATCTAGCACAACAGATATCACACCTGGTAAGTTCTTTATCTTTACTATATAATCACAATTGTTTCAAACATATTGTCGCAAAATATATTAAATTAGCTATTAAGTGTTGAATCATCTTGATAATGAGTACTTCTTGTTTGGTGTTAAATGATGACCATCTATTGTGATTGACTATATGTCCATAAACGAATTCATAGTTTTACTTAATATGAAGACGATGTGGTGTTTGCAACAAATCATATGAGAATCATACGACACCAAACATGCAAAAGTGAGATTGTATGGAGAAAGAAGTTAAAAATGGTCATTATTTACTATTTGAACGTATCAAAAATGCGGATAATCCGTGATATTGCACATTTACTGTAAATTCAGAAATTATAGCGTTCATTTATTATTGCGATTTTTCAAAAATGGACAAGAATAGGAGTTTAATTATTGCCATTTCAGAAAAATCTACATACAGATCTATGTTTTAGTTATCAAAATGCGAGTTCTTATTATTGCGATACTCACCTAGTCGCATTATTCGCATTAATAAAAATCTCGCAATAATTTCTGAATTTACAGTACTTTGACGAGAAAAATGACTCTGAGAGAATTAGAATTTGCAATTAGGACGACTATGTATAATTTCAAAAGCAGTATTAGAAACAGTCATCGTATAATGTTAATTTTATCATGTCAGCGGCAGAGTCTTCACAAGCAGGTGGCATTATTTTCTATCCTAGTGTTTTACCTTGAAATGTAAATTTTAGTTGAAAAGACCTCAAATTCTAATATTTATTTATTGGGTTGATGGTAGTACAGAATCAATGTAATTAATTTCACTTTGTTGAAGGGTTAATCCTCTTTGGACATTGAAATTGATATAAAGTTTTTGAATTTATGCCAAATTGACATGGACAGTTTCAAATCAATTCATTTTAATTTATTTATATGAGTTAGAAATTATCAGACACATGTTATACATTTTGCAAAAAACATCAGTTAAAACGAATGGTTATGTAATGATGTTATGATTCTAATGCACGTTTGTTGAATATAAAAATCAGCTTGATACTGTTCAGAGTAGTTATTTGTCAGAAATTTAAAACTGTTTGTTTGTATTGAAATCAAGATTGCTATAGTTTTATAATCAGAATAGATTGATAGGATTTATTTTACATCGTGATCATACTGATGAAGGATATCTGTTATCCGAAATATTTATAGTTACATTTGTTCATTTTATTGTTATTTTTTGGTGATGTAGTACCCTTTTAGACTTTTTATAGGTTGCACTTTGTAAATACAGCTGTTTCTCAAACCACGCCTCTTTTGGGGAGATATATAATATTCATAGATATGTTAATTTGTTAACGTACTGGTTCCCATTTATGATCTCTGTGTTTCATCTCATAGAGACATCACTTGGGAATGTAACCAGTATAGAAAAACATGGTAGCGCCTAAATTTTAATTCTTAGGAGGTCCAAAAATGGAGGTAAGGGTAGTATAGAATTTTAGTATAAGTTTAAACTCTTAGAAGTTCAGGGCATATAAATGTTGAAAATATGCCGCACAGCCCTATATTTTGACCTTTGAATAAAATAGTAGTGCATATAAACTTTCCGTTCTAGGATATTATTTTTCACAAAACTTCATAGTAAAAGTGTCACAGTTTTAGCCGCAAAGGGAGTTCCTATGGGAAATTGAATTGTCTATATTTACAGAATTGCAACCTATATAGGGTTAAAAATTAGAACATACAGAATTTCATAAAATCTCGTTTATCTCAGAGATTGTGGAGAATTTAACTCAAATATGAAGTTTTATAAATATTTCATGAAGATTGAGAAAATCCTGGGCCTTAACTATGATGAGTCAGCATAAATTCACAGTTTACAGTATGCATTGTTTACTTAAAGCCATGAGTTAAAAATAAATTCATAAAATATGCCTTTTTGAAATTTAAATTGTTTAGAAGTGCTTAGATTTACACTTCGCAGTCATTGCAACTCATTGATCCTTCTTACATATTTTTGGTGGGGTGTTTTTGTCCTGTCGATAACCCAAAAGTAAGCCGTAACACCTAAATGTGCTTTTTTGTGACCGCGGCATAAAAAGTACAAAAGACCTCAATAAAACTTACAAGAGTGTGTTCTATCCAAAATATGTACTAAATATTCCACATTGCTAGAAACATGGAAAAAATTTAGGAAATGTGAGGCCCCAGGGGCAAAAAACAGAGAAAAATGCCTCCCCCTGGGTCATAAAACAGATAATCTAACTTCTAAATGCTATGATTTTATTATTTTAAAGGTCTTTTGTAAAGAAAACAATAACTGTGCTAGGAAGTTATGCAAAAATCAGATGTTAGCAGTCATTTCTATCAAACTTTTAGTGAATTTATGCACCAGACTGATATCTTCATAAATACAACTTTTACAAATATGGCTTTGTTTAAACACTTCTAGTTCATATATTAACTAACTTATGTTAGATATATGGTTAGGGATGATACTGTTGTAACATGAATTCTAAACTGACCATTTGAGGCAGAAATTGAGAACTTTCATTGACAAATAGGCATACAGTAAGATGTGGACTGTAGACACAGGCAGGATTGGATACTTTGTATAATCTTGAATGTTGGAATGATTAACTACTAAGCATTACATTTATAGTATTTTAAAATGCTTTCAATTTGTTATCAAAATAGTTTCAAACAGGTTTTAGACAGTTCATGTCAGAAAACATGCACATAGGGTAAGCTGGCAATAATTAAAGTCTTGTTTTCAAATTCTTTAAAAAATTGAAACAGGGGTAGGTGTATAAAATGTACTGTAAAAGGAAACTTAGAGTATATGCAGTGATTTCTTTAAGGCTATAATTCTGATAAATAAGTATTGTTGTGAGAAAAAGTGATTTTAGAGAGTTTTCTATTTGAATAAATGTTTGTATAGGTTGCACTTTGTAAATACAGCTGTTTCTCAAACCACGCCTCTTTTGGGGAGATATATAATATTCATAGATATGCTTATTTGTTAACGTACTGGTTCCCATTTATGATCTCTGTGTTTCATCTCATAGAGACATCACTTGGGAATTTAACCAGTATAGAAAAACATGGTAGCGCCTAAATTTTAATTCTTAGGAGGTCGAAAAATGGAGGTAAGGGTAGTATAGAATTTTAGTATAAGTTTAAACTCTTAGAAGTTCAGGGCATATAAATGTTGAAAATATGCCGCACTGCCCTATATTTTGACCTTTGAATAAAATAGTAGTGCATATAAACTTTCCGTTCTAGGATATTATTTTTCAGAAAAATTCATAGTAAAAGTGTCACAGTTTTAGCCGCAAAGGGAGTTCCTATGGGAAATTGCATTGTCTATATTTACAGAATTGCAACCTATATATTATATTTTGTAGTGTACTGTATCATAATTATATGATCCATCGCCCCGTAAGATTTATCGTTGGCTATTATTCAGTCATTTTATATATATAAATATATAAAAAAAAATTAAAAATGCATTATTTTGGACAATATAGATTTTCTTTTTTTCCTTAATTTCCATCAAATTATAAACCTTTTCCTTTTTGTTTTAAATAATGGTATGATACCTTTATACTGGTACATGATTCAGTCATAAGGCATTTCGTATTAGTTTTATAAACATGTTACCATTGACAAAGTCAACCATAAAGGACTTTGTTTTAGAAGTTAGCTTGAAGTAGTAATCTTTAACTAATTTCTTGGACTTACACATGTTACATAACATGCATAATTTCCATCTTCATTTTCTAATAACTAAACTTGAAGTTTATTCTAGGACGAGAGATCTTTAATAATTAATCTCTAAAACACTTGGTATATGTCTATACGGTTATTTTTGTACAAGTCAAATGAAATTGATTAATTTGATTAAATGTTTTGTTTTGTTTTATAATCGGGGTATTCTTGAACGAAAGACAGTCATCATATCAAATAGGGTACATACATGCAACTGAAAAAAAAACCATGCAATTCAATCTTGTTCTTGTATTTGCTAATACTGTGGATTCATTTATTTTCGTGGGTATTAATTTTCGTGGATAGAGAAAAAAAGACGTTTCGTGGTATACGTAAATTCGTGGATCGCTGATTCCAAAAAAAAAAAATCAGATACGTAATTCGTGGATTTCTTTTTGATTAAGGAGATCATATTACCTCCTTGTTTGGTCAATAATGAAACAAACAAAAAAGAAGGAATTCATTGAAAAAGTTTTGAATTGTCAAAATCCGCGCTTGGTCATTCTATATTAAAGGGTTCATTGAAAACTTCTATTACAATAATGAACAGAGACAACTAACTATTTGTTTGTTTTACAATTTATAAATTCTTGTCGGAATTTTATAAGGCATTCAAAACTCTATGATTGAAAGCTCATTTCCCTAATCACGATATAATAAACAGTCATATAAGTAAAAGGTGTGAAAATAAATGTTCCTGTCATAAACAATATTACCTACGGGCAATATCCCCGTACTTAATCCTATTGATTTTTAATCCCCAATAAACCAAACTATGACACGGTAATTAACAACTTGCAGTTATTTTCCATGAACAGTTTTAATCAATTTTTAAAAAGTAAAGTATCACTGATATTCGATATATTTATTATTGATTTAATCAAAATACTTGTATCTTCTATCGTTAAAAACGCGTGTTATGTTACAATGTTTATCGCTTGTCAACACTATACTAGAACTGCATAACATAACCGGAAATAAACATCCGACTCCATACACATTTCTCGGGATTATTCTTCGTTGAATTCTTAAATTCGTGGTTCGCTGTGACCCACGAAACCCACGAAAATTGGTATACCACGAATAACAATGAATCCACAGTAGATTGTTTGTGTTTATTAATGTTGATGTTGTGTAAATGTAGAAACAATTTAGAGCTTTGGTGGATTTATGATCGCTTGTAGGCCATCAAATGTTAAATTATCTATAATTGGTACTGTTTTAACTATTTCTCTAATTCTTACTCGATTTATCCTTTTCCCGACCTATTGATTATCTTTATTTATTCAACGTGTGATTCGTTTGATTTCATTTCTTCATTGGTCAATATTCGATTATGACGTCAAAATTGTCTTGCTCTCCTCTGAAACTACCATTGTGACGTCATGAAAAAAGGCGACCATGCCTGATGACGTCACATAGGAAGATTAAGAACACATCTTTTTTGCAAATCATTCGAAACGAAGGATTAAATTTGTCTGTATATCGATTAAAAATCATTAGAGAAACAGATTCCACCACCAAATCTCTTGCAATACAATATTTATCCACTCTCGGCGAGCCTCGCGTTTTAAATTTGAAAATTTGTCTGTCTCGAGTGGATAAATATATCTTGTCTTGGGGAGGGATACATCCTACTTTGTAAAGAATCACTCTGATTCAAACAAAAAATTCTCTGAAACTGACATTATCAAGATGCTTGATTTCTTGATTGACAACATATTTGTTACGTTTGGAGGACGTGTTTTTCCACAGACTAGCGGAATTCCAATGGAAACCAATTGTGCCCCTCTTCTTGCCGACTTGTTTCTTTATTATTATGAGGCTGACTTCATATAGGAACTTCTTAGGAAGAAAGATAAGAAGTTAGCAATATCCTTTAACTCTACGTTCCGCTATATAGATGATGTTTTCTCACTAAATAATACAAAATTTGGTGACTATGTTGAACGAATCTTTCCCATCGAACTAGAGATAAAGGATACCACAGATACAGTTAAGTCTGTCTCATATCTTGACTTACATCTAGAAATTGACAATGAGGGTCGGTTGAAAACAAAACTTTACGACAAAAGAGATGTTTTCAGCTTCCCAATAGTGAACTGTCCATTTCTATGTAGCAACATTCCAGCAGCGCCTGCATACAAAGTATATATCTCCCAATTGATACGATATTCCCGGGCTTGTGTTTCCTATCATGATTTCCTTGATAAAGGATTGCTGCTCACAAGGAAGCTATTAAACAAAGAGTTCCAAATGGTGAAGTTGAAGTCATCCCTTCGTAAATTTTACGGACGCCATGACGAGTTGGTTGACCGTTATGGAATAACCGTTTCACAGATGATATCGGATATCTTTCTTATGTCGTAACTATAATACCCTCCCTTTTCACGAATGTGACTTACCGAATTAGACTATTTACCGGATTTGTAATAACATAAGCAACACGACGGGTGCCACTTGTGGAGCATGATCTGCTAACCCTTCCGGAGCTCTGAGATCAGCCCCAGTTTTTTGTAGGGTTCGTGTTGCTTAGTCTTTGGTTTTCTATGTTGTGTCATCTGTAATATTGTTTGTCTTTTTGTTTTTGCCATGGCGTTGTCAGTTTGTTTTCGATCTATGAGTATGACTGTCCCTCTGGTATCTTTCGTCCCTCTTTGATGCAGTGGTAGAATCTATATGTACCATGCTATGCTTTATTTTTCAGTATCTAGCACAACAAATATCACACCTGGTAAGTTCTTTATCTTTACTATATAATTACAATTGTTTCAAACATATTGTCGCAAAATATATTAAACTAGCTATTAAATGTTGAATGATCTTGTTAATGAGTACTTTTTATACGGTGTAAATTGATGACCATCTATTGTGATTGACTATATGTCCATAAACGAATTCATAGTTTTACTTAATATGAAGACGATGTGGTGTTTGCAACAAATCATATGAGAATCATACGACACCAAACATGCAAAAGTGAGATTGTATTGAGATAGAAGTTAAAAATGGTCATTATTTACTATTTGAACGTATCAAAAATGCGGATAATCCGTGAAATTGCACATTTACTTTGACGAGAAAAAATTACTTTGAGAGAATTAGAATTTGCAATTAGGACGACTATGTGTAATTTCAAAAGCAGTATTAGAAACAGTCATCGTATAATGTTAATTTTATCATGTCAGCGGCAGAGTCTTTACAAGCAGGTGGCATTATTTTCTATCCTAATGTTTTTACCTTGAAATGTAAATTTTAGTTGAAAAGACCTCAAATTCAAATATTTATTTATTGGGTTGATAGTAGTACAGAATCAATGTAATTAAATTCACTTTGTTGAAGGGCATTAATCTCTTTGGACATTGAAATTGATATAAAGTTTTTGAATTTATGCCAAATTGACATGGAAAGTTTCAAATCAATTCATTTTAATTTATTTATATGAGTTAGAAATTATCAGACACATGTTATACATTTTGCAAAAAACATCAGTTAAAACGAATGGTTATGTAATGATGTTATGATTCTAATGAAGATTTTGACATCTTTCTGCGTTTAAAACATTGTTCCTGTACATTATCAACGTTCTTTTATATATAGATATACAATGGATGCACGTTTGTTGAATATAAAAATCAGCTTGATACTGTTCAGAATAGTTATTTGTCAGAAATTTAAAACTGTTTGTTTGTATAGAAATCAAGATTGCTATAGTTTTAAAATCAGAATAGATTGAAAGGATTTATTTTACATCGTGATCATACTGATGAAGGATATCTGCTATCCGAAATATTTATAGTTACATTTGTTCATTTTATTGTTATTTTGTGGTGATGTTGTACCCTTTTAGACTGGTTATATATTATATTTTGTAGTGTACTGTATCATAATTATATGATCCATCGCCCCGTAAGATTTATCGTTGGCTATTATTCAGTCATTTTATATATATAAATATATAAAAAAAAAAAAAAATGCATTATTTTGGACAATATAGATTTTCTTTTTTTCCTTAATTTCCATCAAATTATAAACTTTATCCTTTTTGTTTTAAATAATGGTATGATACCTTTATACTGGTACATGATTCAGTCATAAGGCATTTCGTATTAGTTTTATAAACATGTTACCATTGACAAATACAACTATAAAGGACTTTGTTTTAGAAGTTAGCTTGAAGTAGTAATCTTTAACTAATTTCTTGGACTTACACATGTTACATAACATGCAAAATTTCCATCTTCATTTTCTAATAACTAAACTTGAAGTTTATTCTAGGACGAGAGATCTTTAATAATTAATCTCTAAAACACTTGGTTTATGTCTATACGGTTATTTTTGTACAAGTCAAATGAAATTGATTAATTTGATTAAATGTTTTGTTTTGTTTTATAATCGGGGTATTCTTGAACGAAAGACAGTCATCATATCAAATAGGGTACATACATGCAACTGAAAAAAACATGCAATTCAATCTTGTTCTTGTATTTGTTAATAGATTGTTTGTGTTTATTAATGTTGATGTTGTGTAAGTGTAGAAACAATTTAGAGCTTTGGTGGATTTATGATCGCTTGTAGGCCATCAAATGTTAAATTATCTATAATTGGTACTGTTATAACTATTTCTCTAATTCTTACTCGATTTATCCTTTTCCCGACCTATTGATTATCTTTATTTATTCAACGTGTGATTCGTTTGATTTCATTTCTTTATTGGTCAATATTCGATGATGACGTCAAAATTGTCTTGCTCTCCTCTGAAACTACCATTGTGACGTCATGAAAAAAGGCGACCATGCCTGATGACGTCACATAGGAAGCTTAAGAATACATCTTTTGTGCAGATCATTCGAAACGAAGGATTAAATTTGTCTGTATATCGATTAAAAATCATTAGAGAAACAGATTCCACCACCAAATCTCTTGCAATACGATATTTATCCACTCTCGGCGAGCCTCGCGTTTTAAATTTTAAAATGTGTCTGTCTCGAGTGGATAAATATATCTTGTCTTGGGGAGGGATACATCCTACTTTGTAAAGAATCACTCTGATTCAAACAAAAAATTCTCTGAAACTGACATTATCAAGATGCTTGATTTCTTGATTGACAACATATTTGTTACGTTTGTAGGACGTGTTTTTCAACAGACTAGCGGAATTCCAATGGAAACCAATTGTGCCCCTCTTCTTGCCGACTTGTTTCTTTATTATTATGAGGCTAATTTCATACAGGAACTTCTTAGGAAGAAAGATAAGAAGTTAGCAATATCCTTTAACTGTACGTTCCGCTATATAGATGATGTTCTCTCACTAAATAATACAAAATTTGGTGACTATGTTGAAAGAATCTTTCCCATCGAACTAGAGATAAAGGATACTACAGATACAGTTAAGTCTGTCTCATATCTTGACTTACATCTAGAAATTGACAATGAGGGTCGGTTGAAAACAAAACTTTACGACAAAAGAGATGTTTTCAGCTTCCCAATAGTGAACTTTCCATTTCTATGTAGCAACATTCCAGCAGCGCCTGCATACAAAGTATATATCTCCCAATTGATACGATATTCCCGGGCTTGTGTTTCCTATCATGATTTCCTTGATAAAGGATTGCTGCTCACAAGGAAGCTATTAAACCAAGAGTTCCAAATGGTGAAGTTGAAGTCACCCCTTCGTAAATTTTACGGACGCCATGACGAGTTGGTTGACCGTTATGGAATAACCGTTTCACAGATGATATCGGATATCTTTCTTATGTCGTAACTACAATACCCTCCCTTTTCACGAATGTGACTTACCGAATTAGACTATTTACCGGATTTGTAATAACATAAGCAACACGACGGGTGCCACATGTGGAGCAGGATCTGCTTACTCTTCCGGAGCACCTGAGATCACCCCAAGTTTTTGGTGGGTTCGTGTTGCTTAGTCTTTGGTTTTCTATGTTGTGTCATCTGTGCTATTGTTTGTCTTTTTGTTTTTGCCATGGCGTTGTCAGTTTGTTTTCGATCTATGAGTTTGACTGTCTCTCTGGTATCTTTCGTCCCTCTTTGATGCAGTGGTAGAATCTATATGTACCATGCTATGCTTTATTTTTCAGTATCTAGCACAACAAATATCACACCTGGTAAGTTCTTTATCTTTACTATATAATTACAATTGTTTAAAACATATTGTCGCAAAATATATGAAACTAGCTATTAAATGTTGAATCATCTTGTTAATGAGTACTTTTTATACGGTGTAAATTGATGACCATCTATTGTGATTGACTATATGTCCATAAACGAATTCATAGTTTTACTTAATATGAAGACGATGTGGTGTTTGCAACAAATCAAATGAGAATCATACGACACCAAACATGCAAAAGTGAGATTGTATGGAGATAGAAGTTAAAAATGGTCATTATTTACTATTTGAACGTTTCAAAAATGCGGATAATCCGTGAAATTGCACATTTACTTTGACGAGAAAAAATTACTTTGAGAGAATTAGAATTTGCAATTAGGACGACTATGTGTAATTTCAAAAGCAGTATTAGAAACAGTCATCATATAATGTTAATTTTTTCATGTCAGCGGCAGAGTCTTTACAAGCAGGTGGCATTATTTTCTATCCTAATGTTTTTACCTTGAAATGTAAATTTTAGTTGAAAAGACCTCAAATTCAAATATTTATTTATTGGGTTGATGGTAGTACAGAATCAATGTAATTAATTTCACTTTGTTGAAGGGTTAATCCTCTTTGGACATTGAAATTGATATAAAGTTTTTGAATTTATGCCAAATTGACATGGAAAGTTTCAAATCAATTCATTTTAATTTATTTGTATGAGTTAGAAATTATCAGACACATGTTATACATTTTGCAAAAAACATCAGTTAAAACGAATGGTTATGTAATGATGTTATGATTCTAATGAAGATTTTGATATCTTTCTGCGTTTAAAACATTGTTCCTGTACATTATCAACGTTCTTTTATATATAGATATACAATGTATGCACGTTTGTTGAATATGAAAATCAGCTTGATACTGTTCAGAATAGTTATTTGTCAGAAATTTAAAACTGTTTGTTTGTATAGAAATCAAGATTGCTATAGTTTTAAAATCAGAATAGATTGATAGGATTTATTTTACATCGTGATCATACTGATGAAGGATATCTGTTATCCGAAATATTTATAGTTACATTTGTTCATTTTATTGTTATTTTTTGGTGATGTAGTACCCTTTTAGACTGGTTATATATTATATTTTGTAGTGTACTGTATAATAATTATATGATCCATCGCCCCGTAAGATTTATCGTTGGCTATTATTCAGTCATTTTATATATATAAATATATAAAAAAAAAAAATTAAAAATGCATTATTTTTGACAATAGAGATTTTCTTTTTTTCCTTAATTATCATCAGATTATAAACCTTATCCTTTTTGTTTTAAATACTGGTATGATACCTTTATACTGGTACATGATTCAGTCATAAGGCATTTCGTATTAGTTTTATAAACATGTTACCATTGACAAATACAACTATAAAGGACTTTGTTTTAGAAGTTAGCTTGAAGTAGTAATCTTTAACTAATTTCTTGGACTTACACATGTTACATAACATGCATAATTTCCATCTTCATTTTCTAATAACTAAACTTGAAGTTTATTCTAGGACGAGAGATCTTTAATAATTAATCTCTAAAACACTTGGTTTATGTCTATACGGTTATTTTTGTACAAGTCAAATGAAATTGATTCATTTGATTAAATGTTATGTTTTGTTTTATAATCGGGGTATTCTTGAACGAAAGACAATCATCATATCAAATAAGGTACATACATGCAACTGTAAAAAAAGGCAATTCGATCTTGTTCTTGTATTTGTTTATAGATTGTTTGTGTTTATTAATGTTGATGTTGTGTAAATGTAGAAACAATTTAGAGCTTTGGTGGATTTATGATCGCTTGTAGCCATTAATTGCTAATTTATCTATAATTGGTACTGTTATAACTATTTCTCTAATTCTTACTCGATTTATCCTTTTCCCGACCTATTGATTATCTTTAATTAATCAACGTGTGATTCGTTTGATTTCATTTCTTCATTGGTCAATATTCGATTTTGACGTCAAAATTGTCTTGCTCTCCTCTGAAACTACCATTGTGACGTCATAAAAAAGGGCGACCATGCATGATGACGTTACATAGGAAGAACACATCTTTTTTGCAGATCATTCGAAACGAAGGATTAAATTTGTCTGTATATCGATTAAAAATCATTAGAGAAAGAGATTCCACCACCAAATCCTTTGCAATACGATATGTATCCACTCTCGGCGAGCCTCGCGTTTTAAATTTGAAAATTCGTCTGTCTCGAGTGGATAAATATATCTTGTCTTGGGGAGGGAAAAATCCTACTTTGTAAAGAATCACTCTGATTCCAAACAAAAATTCTCTGAAACTGACATTATCAAGATGCTTGATTTCTTGATTGACAACATATTTGTTACGTTTGGAAGACGTGTTTTTCAACAGACTGTTGGAATTCCAATGGAAACCAATTGTGCCCCTCTTCTTGCCGACTTGTTTCTTTATTATTATGAGGCTGACTTCATACAGGAACTTCTTAGGAAGAAAGATAAGACGTTAGCAATATCCTTTAACTCTACGTTCCGCTAAATAGATGATGTTCTCCCACTAAATAATACAAATTTTGGTGACTATGTTGAACGAATCTTTCCCATCGAACTAGAGATAAAGGATACTACAGATACAGTTAGGTCTGCCTCATATCTTGACTTACATCTAGCTATTGACAATGAGGGTCGGTTGAAAACAAAACTTTACGACAAAAGAGATGATTTCAGCTTCCTAATTGTGAACTTTCCATTTCTATGTAGCAACATTCCAGCAGCGCCTCCGTACAGAGTATATATCTCCCAATTGATACGATATTCCCGGACTTGTGTTTCCTATCATGATTTCCTTGATAGAGGATTGCTGCTCACAAGGAAGCTATTAAACCAAGAGTTCCAAATGGTGAAGTTGAAGTCATCCCTTTGTAAATTTTACGGACGCCATCACGAGTTGGTTGACTGTTATGAAATAACCGTTTCACAGATGATATCGGATATGTTCCTTATGTCGTAACTACAATACCCTCCCTTTTCACGAATGTGACTTACCGAATTAGACTATTTACCGGATTTGTAATAACATAAGCAACACGACGGGTGCCACATGTGAAGCAGAATCTGCTTACTTTTCCGGAGCACCTGAGATCACCCCAAGTTTTTGGTGGGTTCGTGTTGCTTAGGTTTTGGTTTTCTATGTTGTGTCATCTGTGCTATTGTTTGTCTTTTTGTTTTTGCCATGGCGTTGTCAGTTTGTTTTCGATCTATGAGTTTGACTGTCCCTCTGGTATCTTTCGTCCCTCTTTGACGCAGTAGTAGAATCTATATGTACCATGCTATGCTTTATTTTTCAGTATCTAGCACAACAGATATCACACCTGGTAAGTTCTTTATCTTTACTATATAATTGCAATTGTTTCAAACATATTGTCGCAAAATATATTAAACTAGCTATTAAGTGTTGAATCATCAGGTTAATGAGTACTTCTTGTTTGGTGTTAAATGATGACCATCTTTTGTGATTGACTATATGTCCATAAACGAATTCATAGTTTTACTTAATATGAAGACGATGTGGTGTTTGCAACAAATCATATGAGAATCATACGACACCAAACATGCAAAAGTGAGATTGTATGGAGAAAGAAGTTAAAAATGGTCATTATTTACTATTTGAACGTATCAAAAATGCGGATAATCCGTGAAATTGCACATTTACTTTGACGAGAAAAATGACTTTGAGAGAATTAGAATTTGCAATTAGGACGACTATGTGTAATTTCAAAAGCAGTATTAGAAACAGTCATCGTATAATGTTAATTTTATCATGTCAGCGACAGAGTCTTTACAAGCAGGTGGCATTATTTTCTATCCTAGTGTTTTACCTTGAAATGTAAATTTTAGTTGAAAAGACCTCAAATTCAAATATTTATTTATTGGGTTGATGGTAGTACAGAATCAATGTAATTAATTTCACTTTGTTGAAGGGTTAATCCTCTTTGGACATTGAAATTGATTTAAAGTTTTTTGAATTTATGCCAAATTGACATGGAAAGTTTCAAATCAATTCATTTTAATTTATTTATATGAGTTAGAAATTATCAGACACATGTTATACATTTTGCAAAAAACATCAGTTAAAACGAATGGTTATGTAATGATGTTATGATTCTAATGAAGATTTTGACATCTTTCTGCGTTTAAGACATTGTTCCTGTACATTATCAACGTTCTTTTATATATAGATATACAATGTATGCACGTTTGTTGAATATAAAAATCAGCTTGATACTGTTCAGAATAGTTATTTGTCAGAAATTTAAAACTGTTTGTTTGTATAGAAATCAAGATTGCTATAGTTTTAAAATCAGAATAGATTGATAGGATTTATTTTACATCGTGATCATACTGATGAAGGATATCTGTTATCCGAAATATTTATAGTTACATTTGTTCATTTTATTGTTATTTTTTGGTGATGTAGTACCCTTTTAGACTGGTTATATATTATATTTTGTAGTGTACTGTATCATAATTATATGATCCATCGCCCCGTAAGATTTATCGTTGGCTATTATTCAGTCATTTTATATATATAAATATATAAAAAAAAAATTAAAAATGCATTATTTTGGACAATATAGATTTTCTTTTTTTCCTTAATTTCCATCAGATTATAAACCTTATCCTTTTTGTGTTAAATAATAGTATGATACCTTTATACTGGTACATGATTCAGTCATAAGGCATTTCGTATTAGTTTTATAAACATGTTACCATTGACAAAGTCAACTATAAAGGACTTTGTTTTAGAAGTTAGCTTGAAGTAGTAATCTTTAACTAATTTGTTGGACTTACACATGTTACATAACATGCATAATTTCCATCTTCATTTTCTAATAACTAAACTTGAAGTTCATTCTAGGACGAGAGATCTTTAATAATTAATCTCTAAAACACTTGGTTTATGACTATATGGTTATTTTTGTACAAGTCAAATGAAATTGATTAATTTGATTAAATGTTATGTTTTGTTTTATAATCGGGGTATTCTTGAACGAAAGACAATCATCATATCAAATAAGGTACATACATGCAACTGTAAAAAAATGCAATTCAATCATGTTCTTGTATTTGTTAATAGATTGTTTGTGTTTATTAATGTTGATGTTGTGTAAATGTAGAAACAATTTAGAGCTTTGGTGGATTTATGATCGCTTGTAGGCCATCAAATGTTAAATTATCTATAATTAGTACTGTTATAACTATTTCTCTAATTCTTACTCGATTTATCCTTTTCCCGACCTATTGATTATCTTTATTTATTCAACGTGTGATTCGTTTGATTTCATTTCTTCATTGGTCAATATTCGATTATGACGTCAAAATTGTCTTGCTCTCCTCTGAAACTACCATTGTGACGTCATGAAAAAAGGCGACCATGCCTGATGACGTCACATAGGAAGCTTAAGAACACATCTTTTTTGCAGATCATTCGAAACGAAGGATTAAATTTGTCTGTATATCGATTAAAAATCATTAGAGAAACAGATTCCACCACCAAATCTCTTGCAATACGATATTTATCCACTCTCGGCGAGCCTCGCGTTTTAAATTTTAAAATTTGTCTGTCTCGAGTGGATAAATATATATTGTCATGGGGAGGGATACATCCTACTTTGTAAAGAATCACTCTGATTCAAACAAAAAATTCTCTGAAACTGACATTATCAAGATGCTTGATTTCTTGATTGACAACATATTTGTTACGTTTGGAGGACGTGTTTTTCAACAGACTGTCGGAATTCCAATGGAAACCAATTGTGCCCCTCTTCTTGCCGACTTGTTTCTTTATTATTATGAGGCTGATTTCATACAGGAACTTCTTAGGAAGAAAGATAAGAAGTTAGCAATATCCTTTAACTCTACGTTCCGCTATATAGATGATGTTCTCTCACTAAATAATACAAAATTTGGTGACTATGTTGAACGAATCTTTCCCATCGAACTAGAGATAAAGGATACTACAGATACAGTTAAGTCTGTCTCATATCTTGACTTACATCTAGAAATTGACAATGAGGGTCGGTTGAAAACAAAACTTTACGACAAAAGAGATGTTTTCAGCTTCCCAATAGTGAACTTTCCATTTCTATGTAGCAACATTCCAGCAGCGCCTGCATACAAAGTATATATCTCCCAATTGATACGATATTCCCGAGCTTGTGTTTCCTATCATGATTTCCTTGATAGAGGATTGCTGCTCACTAGGAAGCTATTAAACCAAGAGTTCCAAATGGTGAAGTTGAAGTCATCCCTTTGTAAATTTTACGGACGACGTCACGAGTTGGTTGACCGTTATGGAATAACCGTTTCACAGATGATATCGAATATGTTTCTTATGTCGTAACTACAATACCCTCCTTTTTCACGAATGTGACTTACCGAATTAGACTATTTACCGGATTTGTAATAACATAAGCAACTAGACGGGTGCCACTTGTGGAGCAGGATTTGCTAACCCTTCCGGAGCACTTGAGATCACCCCCAGTTTTTGGTGGGGTTCGTGTTGCTTAGTCTTTGGTTTTCTATGTTGTGTCATCTGTAATATTGTTTGTCTTTCTGTTTTTGCCATGGCGTTGTCAGTTTGTTTTCGATCTATGAGTTTGACTGTCCCCCTGGTATCTTTCGTCCCTCTTTGATGCAGTGGTAGAATCTATATGTACCATGCTATGCTTTATTTTTCAGTATCTAGCACAACAAATATCACACCTGGTAAGTTCTTTATCTTTACTATATAATTACAATTGTTTCAAACATATTGTCGCAAAATATATTAAACTAGCTATTAAATGTTGAATCATCTTGTTAATGAGTACTTTTTGTACGGTGTAAATTGATGACCATCTATTGTGATTGACTATATGTCCATAAACGAATTCATAGTTTTACTTATTATGAAGACGATGTGGTGTTTGCAACAAATCATATGAGAATCATACGACACCAAACATTCAAAAGTGAGATTGTATGGTGATGGAAGTTAAAAATGGTCATTATTTACTATTTGAACGTATCAAAAATGCGGATAATCCGTGAAATTGCACATTTACTTTGACGAGAAAAAATGACTTTGAGAGAATTAGAAACTGCAATTAGGACGACTATGTGTAATTTCACAAGCAGTATTAGAAACAGTCATCCTATAATGTTAATTTTATCATGTTAGCGACAGAGTCTTTACAAGCAGGTGGCATTATGTTCTATCCTAATGTTTTTACCTTGAAATGTAAATTTTAGTTGAAAAGACCTCAAATTTGAACATTTATTTATTGGGTTGATAGTAGTACAGAATCAATGTAATTAATTTCACTTTGTTGAAGGGTTAATCCTCTTTGGACATTGAAATTGATATAAAGTTTTTGAATATATGCCAAATTGACATGGAGAGTTTCAAATCAAATCATTTTAATTTATTTATATGAGTTAGAAATTATCAGACACATGTTAAACATTTTGCAAAAAACATCAGTTAAAACGAATGGTTATGTAATGATGTTATGATTCTAATGAAGATGTTGACATCTTTCTGCGTTTAAAACATTGTTCCTGTACATTATCAACGTTCTTTTATATATAGATATACAATGTATGCACGTTTGTTGAATATAAAAATCAGCTTGATACTGTTCAGAATAGTTATTTGTCAGAAATTTAAATCTGTTTGTTTGTATAGAAATCAAGATTGCTATAGTTTTATAATCAGAATAGATTGATAGGATTTATTTTACATCGTGATCATACTGATGAAGGATACCTGTTATCCGAAATATTTATAGTTACATTTGATCATTTTATTGTAATTTTTTGGTGATGTAGTACCCTTTTAGACTGGTTATATATTATATTTTGTAGTGTACTGTATCATAATTATATGATCCATCGCCCCGTAAGATTTATCATTGGCTATTATTCAGTCATTTTATATATATAAATATATAAAAAAAAAAATTAAAAATGCATTATTTTGGACAATATAGATTTTCTTTTTTTCCTTAATTTCCATCAGATTATAAACCTTATCCTTTTTGTGTTAAATAATAGTATGATACCTTTATACTGGTACATGATTCAGTCATAAGGCATTTCGTATTAGTTTTATAAACATGTTACCATTGACAAAGTCAACCATAAAGGACTTTGTTTTAGAAGTTAGCTTGAAGTAGTAATCTTTAACTAATTTCTTGGACTTACACATGTTACATAACATGCATAATTTCCATCTTCATTTTCTAATAACTAAACTTGAAGTTTATTCTAGGACGAGAGATCTTTAATAATTAATCTCTAAAACACTTGGTTTATGTCTATACGGTTATTTTTGTACAAGTCAAATGAAATTGATTAATTTGATTAAATGTTTTGTTTTGTTTTATAATCGGGGTATTCTTGAACGAAAGACATCATATCAAATAAGGTACATACATGCAACTGTAAAAAAATGCAATTCAATCTTGTTCTTGTATATGTTAATATATTGTTTGTGTTAATTAATGTTGATGTTGTGTAAATGTAGAAACAATTTAGAGCTTTGGTGGATTTATGATCGCTTGTAGCCATCAAATGCTAATTTATCTATAATTAGTACTGTTATAACTATTTCTCTAATTCTTACTCGATTTATCCTTTTCCCGACCTATTGATTATATTTAATTAATCAACGTGTGATTCGTTTGATTTCATTTCTTCATTGGTCAATATTCGATTTTGACGTCAAAATTGTCTTGCTCTCCTCTGAAACTCTATTGTGACGTCATGAAAAAAGGCGACCATGCCTGATGACGTCTCATAGGAAGAACACATCTTTTTTGCAGATCATTCGAAACGAAGGATTAAATTTGTCTGTATATCGATTAAAAATCATTAGACAAACAGATTCCACCACCAAATCTCTTGCAATACGATATGTATCCGCTCTCGGCGAGCCTCGCGTTTTAGATTTGAAAATTCGTCTGTCTCGAGTGGATAAATATATCTTGTCTTGTGGAGGGATAAATCCTACTTTGTAAAGAATCACTCTGATTCAAACAAAAAATTCTCTGAAACTGACATTATCAAGATGCTTGATTTCTTGATTGACAACATATTTGTTACGTTTGGAGGACGGGTTTTTCAACAGACTGTCGGAATTCCAATGAAAACCAATTGTGCCCCTCTTCTTGCCGACTTGTTTCTTTATTATTATGAGGCTGATTTCATACAGGAACTTCTTAGGAAGAAAGATAAGAAGTTAGCAATATCCTTTAACTCTACGTTCCGCTATATAGATGATGTTCTCTCACTAAATAATACAAAATTTGGTGACTATGTTGAACGAATCTTTCCCATCGAACTAGAGATAAAGGATACTACAGATACAGTTAAGTCTGTCTCATATCTTGACTTACATCTAGAAATTGACAATGAGGGTCGGTTGAAAACAAAACTTTACGACAAAAGAGATGTTTTCAGCTTCCCAATAGTGAACTTTCCATTTCTATGTAGCAACATTCCAGCAGCGCCTGCATACAAAGTATATATCTCCCAATTGATACGATATTCCCGGGCTTGTGTTTCCTATCATGATTTCCTTGATAGAGGATTGCTGCTCACTAGGAAGCTATTAAACCAAGAGTTCCAAATGGTGAAGTTGAAGTCATCCCTTTGTAAATTTTACGGACGACGTCACGAGTTGGTTGAACGTTATGGAATAACCGTTTCACAGATGATATCGAATATGTTTCTTATGTCGTAACTACAATACCCTCCTTTTTCACGAATGTGACTTACCGAATTAGACTATTTACCGGATTTGTAATAACATAAGCAACTAGACGGGTGCCACTTGTGGAGCAGGATTTGCTAACCCTTCCGGAGCACTTGAGATCACCCCCAGTTTTTGGTGGGGTTCGTGTTGCTTAGTCTTTGGTTTTCTATGTTGTGTCATCTGTAATATTGTTTGTCTTTCTGTTTTTGCCATGGCGTTGTCAGTTTGTTTTCGATCTATGAGTTTGACTGTCCCTCTGGTATCTTTCGTCCCTCTTTGATGCAGTGGTAAAATCTATATGTACCATGCTATGCTTTATTTTTCAGTATCTAGCACAACAAATATCACACCTGGTAAGTTCTTTATCTTTACTATATAATTACAATTGTTTCAAACATATTGTCGCAAAATATATTAAACTAGCTATTAAATGTTGAATCATCTTGTTAATGAGTACTTTTTGTACGGTGTAAATTGATGACCATCTATTGTGATTGACTATATGTCCATAAACGAATTCATAGTTTTACTTAATATGAAGACGATGTGGTGTTTGCAACAAATCATATGAGAATCATACGACACCAAACATTCAAAAGTGAGATTGTATGGTGATGGAAGTTAAAAATGGTCATTATTTACTATTTGAACGTATCAAAAATGCGGATAATCCGTGAAATTGCACATTTACTTTGACGAGAAAAAATGACTTTGAGAGAATTAGAAACTGCAATTAGGACGACTATGTGTAATTTCACAAGCAGTATTAGAAACAGTCATCCTATAATGTTAATTTTATCATGTTAGCGGCAGAGTCTTTACAAGCAGGTGGCATTATGTTCTATCCTAATGTTTTTACCTTGAAATGTAAATTTTAGTTGAAAAGACCTCAAATTTGAACATTTATTTATTGGGTTGATAGTAGTACAGAATCAATGTAATTAATTTCACTTTGTTGAAGGGTTAATCCTCTTTGGACATTGAAATTGATATAAAGTTTTTGAATTTATGCCAAATTGACATGGAGAGTCTCAAATCAAATCATTTTAATTTATTTATATGAGTTAGAAATTATCAGACACATATTAAACATTTTGCAAAAAACATCAGTTAAAACGAATGGTTATGTAATGATGTTATGATTCTAATGAAGATGTTGACATCTTTTTGCGTTTAAAACATTGTTCCTGTACATTATCAACGTTCTTTTATATATAGATATACAATGTATGCACGTTTGTTGAATATAAAAATCAGCTTGATACTGTTCAGAATAGTTAATTGTCAGAAATTTAAATCTGTTTGTTTGTATAGAAATCAAGATTGCTATAGTTTTATAATCAGAATAGATTGATAGGATTTATTTTACATCGTGATCATACTGATGAAGGATACCTGTTATCCGAAATATTTATAGTTACATTTGATCATTTTATTGTAATTTTTTGGTGATGTAGTACCCTTTTAGACTGGTTATATATTATATTTTGTAGTGTACTGTATCATAATTATATGATCCATCGCCCCGTAAGATTTATCATTGGCTATTATTCAGTCATTTTATATATATAAATATATAAAAAAAAAAATTAAAAATGCATTATTTTGGACAATATAGATTTTCTTTTTTTCCTTAATTTCCATCAGATTATAAACTTTATCCTTTTTGTGTTAAATAATAGTATGATACCTTTATACTGGTACATGATTCAGTCATAAGGCATTTCGTATTAGTTTTATAAACATGTTACCATTGACAAAGTCAACCATAAAGGACTTTGTTTTAGAAGTTAGCTTGAAGTAGTAATCTTTAACTAATTTCTTGGACTTACACATGTTACATAACATGCATAATTTCCATCTTCATTTTTTAATAACTAAACTTGAAGTTTATTCTAGGACGAGAGATCTTTAATAATTAATCTCTAAAACACTTGGTTTATGTCTATACGGTTATTTTTGTACAAGTCAAATGAAATTGATTAATTTGATTAAATGTTTTGTTTTGTTTTATAATCGGGGTATTCTTGAACGAAAGACATCATATCAAATAAGGTACATACATGCAACTGTAAAAAAATGCAATTCAATCTTGTTCTTGTATATGTTAATATATTGTTTGTGTTAATTAATGTTGATGTTGTGTAAATGTAGAAACAATTTAGAGCTTTGGTGGATTTATGATCGCTTGTAGCCATCAAATGCTAATTTATCTATAATTAGTACTGTTATAACTATTTCTCTAATTCTTACTCGATTTATCCTTTTCCCGACCTATTGATTATATTTAATTAATCAACGTGTGATTCGTTTGATTTCATTTCTTCATTGGTCAATATTCGATTTTGACGTCAAAATTGTCTTGCTCTCCTCTGAAACTCCATTGTGACGTCATGAAAAAAGGCGACCATGCCTGATGACGTCACATAGGAAGAACACATCTTTTTTGCAGATCATTCGAAACGAAGGATTAAATTTGTCTGTATATCGATTAAAAATCATTAGAGAAACAGATTCCACCACCAAATCTCTTGCAATACGATATGTATCCGCTCTCGGCGAGCCTCGCGTTTTAAATTTGAAAATTCGTCTGTCTCGAGTGGATAAATATATCTTGTCTTGTGGAGGGATAAATCCTACTTTGTAAAGAATCACTCTGATTCAAACAAAAAATTCTCTGAAACTGACATTATCAAGATGCTTGATTTCTTGATTGACAACATATTTGTTACGTTTGGAAGACGTGTTTTTCAACAGACTGTCGGAATTCCAATGGAAACCAATTGTGCCCCTCTTCTTACCGACTTGTTTCTTTATTATTATGAGGCTGACTTCATACAGGAACTTCTTAGGAAGAAAGATAAGACGTTAGCAATATCCTTTAACTCTACGTTCTGCTATATAGATGATGTTCTCTCACTAAATAATACAAATTTTGGTGACTATGTTGAACGAATCTTTCCCATCGAACTAGAGATAAAGGATACTACAGATACAGGTAGGTCTGCCTCATATCTTGACTTACATCTAGAAATTGATAATGAGGGTCGGTTGAAAACAAAACTTTACGACAAAAGAGATGATTTCAGCTTCCCAATTGTGAACTTTCCATTTCTATGTAGCAACATTCCAGCAGCGCCTGCGTACAGAGTATATATCTCCCAATTGATACGATATTCCCGGGCTTGTGTTTCCTATCATGATTTCCTTGATAGAGGATTGCTGCTCACAAGAAAGCTATTAAACCAAGAGTTCCAAATGGTGACGTTGAAGTCATCCCTTCGTAAATTTTACGGACGCCATCACGAGTTGGTTGACCGTTATGGAATAACCGTTTCACAGATGATATCGGATATGTTCCTTATGTCGTAACTACAATACCCTCCCTTTTCACGAATGTGACTTACCGAATTAGATTATTTACCGGATTTGTAATAACATAAGCAACACGACGGGTGCCACATGTGGAGCAGGATCTGCTTACTCTTCCGGAGCACCTGAGATCACCCAAAGTTTTTGTGGGGTTCGTGTTGCTTAGGTTTTGGTTTTCTATGTTGTGTCATCTGTGCTATTGTTTGTCTTTTTGTTTTTGCCATGGCGTTGTCAGTTTGTTTTCGATCTATGAGTTTGACTGTCCCTCTGGTATCTTTCGTCCCTCTTTGACGCAGTAGTAGAATCTATATGTACCATGCTATGCTTTATTTTTCAGTATCTAGCACAACAGATATCACACCTGGTAAGTTCTTTATCTTTACTATATAATTGCAATTGTTTCAAACATATTGTCGCAAAATATATTAAACTAGCTATTAAGTGTTGAATCATCAGGTTAATGAGTTATTCTTGTTTGGTGTTAAATGATGACCATCTTTTGTGATTGACTATATGTCCATAAACGAATTCATAGTTTTACTTAATATGAAGACGATGTGGTGTTTGCAACAAATCATATGAGAATCATACGACACCAAACATGCAAAAGTGAGATTGTATGGAGAAAGAAGTTAAAAATGGTCATTATTTACTATTTGAACGTATCAAAAATGCGGATAATCCGTGAAATTGCACATTTACTTTGACGAGAAAAATGACTTTGAGAGAATTAGAATTTGCAATTAGGACGACTATGTGTAATTTCAAAAGCAGTATTAGAAACAGTCATCGTATAATGTTAATTTTATCATGTCAGCGACAGAGTCTTTACAAGCAGGTGGCATTATTTTCTATCCTAGTGTTTTACCTTGAAATGTAAATTTTAGTTGAAAAGACCTCAAATTCAAATATTTATTTATTGGGTTGATGGTAGTACAGAATCAATGTAATTAATTTCACTTTGTTGAAGGGTTAATCCTCTTTGGACATTGAAATTGATATAAAGTTTTTTGAATTTATGCCAAATTGACATGGAAAGTTTCAAATCAATTCATTTTAATTTATTTATATGAGTTAGAAATTATCAGACACATTTTATACATTTTGCAAAAAATATCAGTTACAACGAATGGTTATGTAATGATGTTATGATTCTAATGAAGATGTTGACATCTTTCTGCGTTTAAGACATTGTTCCTGTACATTATCAACGTTCTTTTATATATAGAAATACAATGTATGCACGTTTGTTGAATATAAAAATCAGCTTGATACTGTTCAGAATAGTTATTTGTCAGAAATTTGGAACAGAAATCTAGTTTTCCTTTTTTGAAGATAAGTTGCCTCATTTATTTTTTTATTCGTGGCATATTTTCTCAAATTTAAGAAGGCTGTGCAAGGGTTTGATTTCGTTTCAACTGTTAAAGGCTTCAAGTATCGAAAAGAACAGTTTAAGGGTAAAAATATATTATTTGTTTATTTTTTAATTGCCTTCTTGATTGATCTGAGTAAATATTCGTTACAATATTTAAATAAACATTTTTTTATAATTCCCGCTGTTTGTGTTTGCTTTTTCTTTTCTTTTTTCAATTAAGGAGATTGAACATCGAATTTGTTTACTGTTACATTAATTAATCGAATTGTAGTATTCTGATTTTCTTGCTGTAAACGTTAATTGTAAAAAATTTTGATCTTCATATAAGAGGGAAATTTCAAACGATGTAGATTCAGATGGAACTATTTCCTATTGCGGAATTGTCAAAACAACTTATTCAAGTACCCCAGTATGAAATATACACTAGAGTACTCATTGACATCCCTACCTATATATTGTAAACATTGTATTTGAAACAATTGCGTATATGCATCTTAAAGTTGAAGACTACCTACAAAATATTAAAATTTTTTTTTTCTAATCTTGTCATCTCTGTTACATATATTTGTGATATAATCTCAGTGTTTCATTGTTACAGGTTCTATTGATAATATGACTTCGTGTGCTTGTCCTCAAGGCGAAAGTAGTATAACATTCTCAGAAACGTTTGATGAGGAAACGTTATATATTACTGAAACAAATGAGACAATTTCAATGACGATTGATATTCGTGTACACATGGTTGCTAGAATGGATGGTGAGTATTCAGTGTGTCAAGTTTGCATTCATTGATCAATACGCGCCATTTCTGGCAATTTGCGATATTAATTCAGTTATCCGTATTGAATCACGAATATAATGATATATGGCAAACTAACAAAAGATAAGTACATAACAGAAAACTCATAATCTGTGGAAAATACTTTTGCTAAGAATAAAAAAAATCCGAATGTAGAAATAGGTCTGTCAAACGACAAATATTGCACAATAATACTGTACACTGAGATAAAGAGGAATGCTGTACTTTTGTTTAAAGAAAAGGCAAATGGGACTAATAATACCATAATCACTAAAAACACACGTTTTGAATCTATAATGGTATATAAATATATATCTTTATATCATGATATATTCGGAATTTAATCTTTAGTATGTCAGAGCGTACAGTAAGATGAAAGTGGTTTTTCTTTTAAAATGTCCAGATGATTTTGTAAAAAGTAGGATATTGATATTTGTTTAACATCAGTTAGATCTCCTTAACCAATGGCTACATTTTTGATTAAAGTTAAAGCGTGTTATAAGTGAGTTAAGTTGAATGAATCTCGTTTGTTAAGACCACCAGAATAATTTCTATATTATCAAAATTACTTAATGAAAAGCCATTTATATAGTTATAAACAAAATGTACTTCTAAAGTCACATTGGAAAATATACTGCATTAGTTTTATGTAATTGTCTCTTACGTGAACACAGGTCTAAATGTGTATCTTTATATACTTAAATACATATGTAAACATGGGTCCACTTAAGAGGCAATGCTAACTAAACAGCCAAGACAATAAAACAAGCTGGTGCGCAACACTTGAAGCGAGAGGATTCTGGGGATCTTCCATAAATAAATACACTGACTGTGCACTCAACTTTTTTTGGGTTAAGGTTGTTAAGCACGTTGCAACCTACTTAACTGCTTTTTATTTATTATCTGTTATATGTAGTGTCATTTGTATATACATTGGTATATGTCATAGTACCCAACAGGAGGAGAAACAATCAGTTTGTGGCGGGATCGATCCCCAGCTTTAACTGTATATTTACAGATTGTTTTCCATTATCAATCGTAACAGTTTTGACTAATATTTCCGAGTATAGCAATATGTCTCCTGCGAACTGATAATATCTTTTTCAACTAGAACATGAAAAATCGAAATCTGCATATCGGTCGAGAACAATTGAGGGCGGACTCAGTTCTTATTTTGTCATTCAATAGTTTTGCCGTCTATATTAAGCAGTCAAACGTTCAAATGCAAAAAAAACGAGTCATGCACCTAATTAAATTCCGATAGCAACTTTTGTAATTTTCAACTGTTTCCATTTAAATACCTTACATATGTAACATGTGTAATGTTATGTATTATGCATTATATGTTTATCGGTGAAGGCATACTGAAGAAAAGATAAAGTTAACGTAGATTTCAGATACATTTTATCGTATAGCGTGACACAAGAAATATCTTTTCATGCAAGAAATAGAAAACAGGCCACAACCATCAGAGAAACCTTTTTGTCTGACAGAAAATGATTCTGCCGGAAACTTTATGATTTCGCGAACTTCACCCCAAATATAAGTCCGTTAACAGTATTGAGAAAATTGAGTCTTTTTCAGGCTGTTTGTTCCGGTCAACGTGATACCGGAACAATCACGTCTGTCATAAACAATAACAGACCACATCCATAATGAAATATAAATTTCTAATTCACAAGCCTTAAAATATGCTATTTTATCAATAAAACAATCTTTAGCAATATTCAGATATCCATAGTTTAAAAAATATTCGTGCTATATGCTTTTTCATCGACAATCTGTACATTTTCCTTTTGTTGTCACTGTCTTATATTCTTCAAAATCATGAAAAGGTCCTGATACTAGAAAATGTCAGACAATGACGTAAATCATCAAAGCAGAAACGTCACGCGTTCATGTCCATCCACATCAATTTATCAATCAAGTGCACACGACTTTATGTACACAAAGTTGTGTACGCGTAAAATCAACTATAACATTTTATTACATATTCTAAACGACAAATTGCATAACAAAGAATAATCTATGAAATTTTATTTTTTGTTACTGACTTCACAAGCTAAAATATCATTTTGCCCTAGCGAGCGCACTCAAAAATCTTGCTGATAAAGTCAGTATCAAAAACATAAATGTCGTTATTTTCTATTTTTTTTTTTTTTTTTTTTCACAAGTAAATCTAATTTCAGAACAAAGACGTAATTCACGGTTGTTTGAAATATGTAAGTATGAATAAACAAATCCATCATTTTTTTCGGGGTAAAGGGAGGAGGTTTGAAAAGAAACGAAATGAAAGGGATTGAAAAAGGTAATACTTTGAGATTTTAAAACAATTTATAGATTGCCGAAACTCCATAATATTTCTCCAACAATAACAAATCCAATTTATCCGTATAAAGTCATTCTTATAAAATCACACATTAAAACTGTTTTCTCATTTAAAATATTTTACATTTAGTCATGCCTATGCCTTTTTTATCTTTCTATTTGGAATAGGTTTTCGTCATTGTTGCTTAATTTCTTGTCATTTGGTATTTGGTGGAGATTTGATAAAACAACTAAAATAACAAAAAAATACACCGAACTCCAAAGGAAGTTCAAAACGGAAAGTCATTTATAAAAGGCCAAAATCAAAAGCTCAAACACACCAAACGAATGGAAAACAATTGTCATTTTCCTGACTTGGTACACAATTGACAATTATAACACATATCATTTCCATTGAGACGATATTGTAAGCCCTTGATATTTTATTCGTTTTTGATATTCGTACCAAATTGTATTTCAAGTTTTACCTTCTGATCGTTAATTTTCCTGTTTTATAGTTTATTTGGTTGTTTTCTGAGTGAATTGTACTTCATATGTCTTGCATTTATAGACACATTATTGACAAACTTTTTTAAAAGATATATTTGATATAATTTTGGACTTTATCTAGCATCAGCCGGTATCATTTTATTGTTTATTTAACACAAATATGTATTTTTTAAAGTTATTACTTGTTCATACTCATGATAATGTAAGGTACAAAAAAGGACTAAACCATAAAACAAAAATCTAAAAAAATAATAATGGTACCTTTACCTTAGTACATGGATGTATAAGTATCACAACTACAAGTATTCTATACGCATTGGAAAAATTGGTCTTCGAAGTTATCTGCATCCTTGCCTCCATCTTACAAAAATTATGATTCAAACATTAACTTTTTTACATGTGATAAAGTTCTATTAAAACTTTGTAAATGATATCTATGAATTAAAGATAATTAGAATAACAATTTGTAACAACACGTATGTTTCCTAACCAGGGTATGTGGTAATTTAAAATATTGGATGCAAAATAATTCAGTTGTGATGCGGGACAAACTGGCTTTAAATCATTCCTTCTCTTTTGGTAAAAGGGAAAGGTTAACGAAGAGGAAATGCATATCTAAAATTAAAGAACGATAGACTACACATTTTCCAACAAGACGTAAGCCAAAACCAACAGCATCAATATTGATAAAAACTTTAATTTACATTGTCTGCAAAAATATTAAACATATAGTAAAGAGTAATTAAGATCTATATTTTGATAATACTGAACTCCCTCTTATTTGTTATATTTACAAGAAATCTACCCGAAAATTTGTGTTTAATTATAGCCAAGTCTGTAAAGATGTAAATATCAGTGAAAATACACCTCCGTCATGTAATTGTAGTAATTCCGGAAACACTTATGGCCCCATATCCCATGTTATAACAGGAGACCTTAACATCGTTCGCAACCGAGAGTTAAAATCATTCCTCAGTAAAGGACCTAAATATCGTCCCCCGTCAATTATTAATTGGAATGATTGTCGTAATATCATCCACGACTCACTTCGTGCTTACTCTTTGAAATGGATAAAACGGGAAAAAGCTGACAAAAAATCTTTGGACTCTTTTTTTAATTCAGTAATGAAGATAGTTGATATACGTATACAACATTTTAAAGAACATTTTACTCTCAACAACACCCATAAAAATCCTATCTCTCGTATCAAACATAAACTAAAAGAACTAGCCAAGGAATTTGTTTTTGTCCCGGCCGATAAAGCTGCTAATATTATCATTATAGTTTGACGTAAATTTTACATTGAGGTTCTGCAAAAGGAAATCACGAATTCACCAACTGACTTCATTTTCAGAAAACGATATCTGTAACAAACATAAACTATTAGCTACTTCTTTACAAGCAGAACCAAATACAATGAAAGTCCCAACTATGTACTGGCTTCCGAAGCTACACAAATCACCTTACAAATATAGATTTATTTCGTCTTTAAGTCATTGTTCCACTACTAAATTGTCTATTCTACTTACTAGTACACTTGTTACAATCAAAAACCTGATAATAAATTCTTCAAATAAGGCCTTTGAAAATTGTGGAATTAACTACTTTTGGAGTGTCAAAAACTCGTTGGAAGTACTTGATAAATTGCATGCATATATTGGTGATTTTGAATCTGTTCAAAGTTTTGATTTTTCTACCCTTTATACCACTTTGCCTCATATTCTTATTAAGAAAAAATTCACACACCTAATTAAATGGGCATTTAAAAAGTCGGAATGCGAATACATATGTTCAAACTCCTTTAGGTCATTTTTTAGTAGCAACAAACAAAAGAGCTATGTCAATTGGACATGCTTTGATACTATATCTGCCCTTGAATGTTTACTTGATAACATTTTTGTTCGCTTTGGAGATTCCGTATATCGTCAAGTTATCGGAATTCCAATGGAAACTAACTGTGCAGCACTTATTGCGGACCTGTTTTTGTATTGTTATGAGTTACAATTTATGACTAAAATCAGCAAAGACCCATCGAAACAACATCTGATACAAAAATTTAACAATACTTGTAGATGATATATTGGCTCTCAATAATGACAACTTCAGTATGTATACTAAAGAAATTTATCCTGTTGAACTTACTTTAAATAAAGCTAATACTAACAATGACCATTGTCCTTTCCTCGATCTTGATATCTATATCATTAACGGGAAGTTTAATACAAAAATTTATGATAAAAGAGATGATTTTTCATTTCCTATCGTTAATTATCCATTTTTAGATGGTGATGTTCCCTTGTCACCATCTTATGGTGTTTATATATCTCAACTTGTACGATTCGCTCGTGTATGTAACAACGTATTAGATTTTAGCGAGAGAAATTTATATATTACTGAAAAATTATTACACCAGGGTTTTCGATATCATAAACTAGTCAAAACATTTACTAAATTTTATCATCGGTATAAGGACATCATTCGTAAATATAACTCAACATGCAGACATCTTATACGTTCGGGTATTTCACATCCAATCTTTTATGGTAATATTCTTTACAAAGCACAAAAATGTCAGTATTCACCTCAAAAGCTAATAAAACCTTTAAACAGACTTATTAAGAAGGGATATAGTTACGATACTGTTGTCAGGTCATTAAAAATTGCATATTTTGGCTTTAATATTGATTCACTTATAGGGTCTTTGCATCGGAATTAAACATATTTTTTTCTAAAACCAGTTGTTGGCATGACACGGGTTATGTTCTTCTCATATATTTTATGACGGTATAATACTAAACCCCTAATAGGAGGGATTGTGCCTGATATTCATATGATGGTGACATAATATTTCAATCAGTTTAATTGAGGTCTGGAGCTGGCATGTCAGTAACTGCTAGTAGTCTGTTGTTATTTATGTACAATTGTCATTTTGTTTATTTTCTTTTGTTTCCTATTCTGACATCGGACTCGGACTTCTATAAAACTGTGTTTTACTGTGCGTACTGTTGTACGTTTGTTTTTTCTACATTGGCTAGAGGTATAGGGGAGGGTTGAGATCTCAAAAAACATGTTTAACCCCGCCGCATTTTTGCGCCTGTCCCAAGTCAGGAGCCTCTGGCCTTTGTTAGTCTTGTATCATTTTTAATTTTAGTTTCTTGTGTATAATTTGGAGTTTAGTATGACGTCCATTATCACTGAACTAGTATACATATTTGTTTAGGGGCCAGCTGAGGGACGCCTCCGGGTGCGGGAGTTTCTCGCTGCATTGAATACCCATTGGTGGCCTTCGGCTGTTGTCTGCTTTATGGTCGGGTTGTTGTCTCTTTGACACATTCCCCATTTCCATTCTCAATTTTACTTTAATTCTAAAAATACAGATTTCACCATCACCCGGAGTTAACAAAGAACAGCCAATACAAAAAACAACACGGTAAATTAAATAACATTAAATAAATAAATCACAAGCCAAAGAAAGTCCCAGGTTGAAATCAAATATTCCAGAATTATAAGCAGTTTCACTAAACCGGAGTTCGTTTGAATACTGCAAATCATTTTTGTTTTTGAAAAATTTAGTTTTTCGCTTTACACCCACGTACATGTAGTCGACTTCGTTAACAGTTACTTTTGCGATTTTCGTTGGTGTATTCATACATTTGATATATTCAGTATTTCAGAGTCAATAAAACATACATACAAAATGTAAAAGGTTCGATTAAATTCTTACTGTGATATCATAAATATTTGATGTATGTGTGTTTTTTATAGCAAGCTCGTGTAAAGGAACATGCCCATTTAAGCCAGGTCAAAGGACGTGTAAGCAGTGTTGCAAAGAAAACGGATTATTAACAGGATTCTGCGTTAAACGATGGTGCGTGTGCTTCTTGGGATAGGTCAGCACAAAAATTAATAAAAATTGGTAAGAGCAACAAGATTTACTATCTACAAAATATTATTTGCTTACTATGAATCTAAAAACATCTCTATCTGAATTATTCTGGTATTGTACCTTAGTGAAGTACAGTGACACATGCTTTAAAAGACCAAATAACTGTGCAATACGTTTTTCTATCTAATCTTAGTTTTCTGTTTAGAATACATCTTATCATAACCAGTATAAATCACAGGAACGTTAATTAAACTGTCACTAGACATTAGAAAAGAGGACTCATGAATTTGTTCAATATCATTTCATTCCTGCTTTCAACTGGTTCTTGTCTGCTGTATTTTACATTTGTTTAATAAATGTATGGTATGCACAAGCCATCTTTTTGATGAGCTCGATCATGACATACGGTGTAAATGGGGTCATTTAAAATGATAAACTCACTTGAATTCCTTATCCTCTTTACAAAAGCTTCACCCTTGATACTGATTTGCAATGATAATGAACGGTAAGGACAATCTTTGAATCCAAAACGATACCGCTCAGATTGCAGCGGTTTTCCTACACGAAGAGGACAAGGATATCTGTAAGACTAAGTCCACAAGGAAAACAGGTAAAACCCTCAGACATGAAAAGTTTTGTCTGATTTTAGTTTTTTGAAAAGGGAAACTAGAAATCGACATTATAACAAAAACACTTGTAAATATCTACAGATGTTCAAACTAGTATGTTTTGTTTAATTTTTCGCATATGTAAAGTGTAATGTTGAAATTAAGTTGAATTTATAATAAATAAACAATAAGCAATTAAGTCATCTATGGAAGCTTTAAAATTTTGACGTTTAGAATATCAAATATAGGAACCAGGAAAGATTGAAATATGTGCATCACGCTTGTTTGATATGTTCCAATTGTCGTAGCCATTACCATGTCCTGTTTTTCTCGATTACGACATCTTCAAATGACACTTAATATTAAACATGTACTTACCAATAAGAACACGACGAATATCACATATGAGACGGAATATGCTTACCATACCGTTTGGTTTTAATCCTGGTTTTGAGTGGGATTAATATTGTTCGGTCTTTTGTACCAATCAGGAATATGACGGTTGTTATCCATTCGTTTGATGTGTTTGAGCTTTTGATTTTGCCATTTGATTACGGACTTTCCGTTTTGAATTTTCCGCGGAGTTCGGTGTTTTTGTTATTTTATTATTTTTGTAAACTGTTGTTTGTTTTTTTTTTTCGCTATTATCACATAGAAGGCAGTGGTCTAACAAATTTAAAAGAAAAGTTGTAGACAAACAAAAGCAAAACAGATATACTTTCAGTTTATCCCTTAATTTTGCAAGAAAGATTTAAAACCTGCTTACTTATAAACTTTTATTTATATTATGTAAAGCTTTACTGACATATTTTTTCTGACTCTATGTCCAATCATTAAACTTCTGTTTAAATATACTTTTATTTATTCATGCAACTTACATGTATGTATCCCTAAATAATTTTTGTATGCAAACTATGTTTAACGTTACGTTGGTTTCATGTGTGTATTTGTTACTTTTCAGGTATACCCATAGAGAATTGAATAAGCGACAACGTGGGAAAAAAGGACAACAATCGCAAAAGATATAACTGTGTTAACATTATACATAAATATATAGTTTATACTTAAATGACCTAATTAAAAAAACAAGAGGCTCTCACCTGCCTAAATCTTTCATCTATGATTATTTTTGCTTTTCAATATATATTAATGAGTGGCTTAAAATGCCATTTAAATGTTCTTTGTATCTGTCATTTTTTCTTCAAAAGCAAAAAATGCATTTTACCCCTTTGTTCCATTTTAGCCATAGTGGCTATGTTTCTTGACGTACAAGGAAATACAATACAAAATTGATACTAGATACTCTGAAACTCATTCAGCCTAAGTTTGACTGAAATTGATTCAGCAGTTTCAAAGGAGAAGATTTTTTAAAGTTAGCAAACTAGATCAACAAATTTTGAAAAGTTATCTTTAAAGGGCAATAACTTCTTAAGGGGTCAATTGACAGTTTTGGTCATTTTTATCTTATTTGTAGATCTTATTTTGCTGAACATTTTTGCTGTTTACAGTTTATCTTTATCTATAATAATATCCAAGGTAATAACCGAAAACTGCAAAATTTCTTTAAAATCATTAATTAAGGGACAATAACCTAAAAGTCAGATACCCAATTTCGCTGATAATTTCAGGGCAGGTAGACATTGACCTAATGAATACTTTAACTTCCTGTCTGAATTGCTCTAAATGCTTTAGTTTTTGAGATATAAGACAGAAACTGCAGTTTACCCAAAATTCTATTTTTAGCCATGGCGGCCATGTTCTCTGAGTAAAGGAAAAATAAAACACTCGCTTCACTGATTACCATGTCAGATTTGCTCTAAATGCTTTAGTTTTTTAAGATATAAGCCAAAAACTGCATTTGACCCCTATGTTCTATTTTAAGCCATGGCGGCCATGGTTTTTGACGAAGCAGAAAATAAAAACAAACTTTATTCTAGGTACCCCCATTCAGCTTAAATATGGTTGGAATTGGATCAGTAGTTTCAGAGGAAAAGATGCTTGAAATAGTTTACACCGGACGGAAGGACGACGACGGACTACGATGACGGACGACGACGACGGACGACGACGGACGCCAAAGGATGGCAAAAGATGGCAAAAGCTCACCTTTCCTGTGGAAAGGTGAGCTATGACGAAATTTTAAATAATTTTAAAATATAAAAAATAATAATTAATATAACGACTTTAAAATTATCACTGTTCGTATACGAAGAAGGTATCTCTTTTTCAGTGTTGTGTAATAATGGGTTAGTTTTTAAACAAAACATATGATACATTTTGTACCATTAGTCATTATATTTTTAACTTTTACACGAAAACATCAAATTACATAAATTCAGCATGACATTCTGCAAGTTAGAAAAAATATTGAACTACAATTCATGTTGGAGACAAAAAGACCTGAATCGTTTATACTCCTATGATGACTGAAGGTGTTTTGTAAACAATTTTATTCATGTACCATTTATGTCAATGGGTCATACTTAACGTATCTCCAATTTGAAAATTTAGACTACTGTTTTTTTGTTTGGTTTGCTACGGTACCAATTTTCTAGGATTTGGGAAGATTTATATTCCGTTGATAAGTGACAACGTGGTTTAGCCAAATTAAACTGACAAGTCTATATAAGACTCATATTTGGTTTGACATTAAAATTCGTAGTATATCTATACCAAAATAAAATCACGACATTGGTACTCCGCAAAGAATAATGTGTAATGATAATTAAAAACCAATTGTTCAGAGAACAATTGAAGGTCTTTCCACAGCAGTTTTTGAATTTATTGAAAAGAAGCTAGTTTGTGTTTACTCAAAGTTAACATTGGCATCTTATCATCAGTTTCTTCATACTGATGCGATAAACAAGTGGTTTCTATATACCTCTGAGTAAAATAAGGGAGATAATTAGCTACTTCCGGTGAAGTAAATGCCACTTCCGGTCTCATATAATAGTTTCTTTCACACTGATTCCAAAAATATATAGTTTCTATATACTTTTGCTTGTAAACCAGGAGATAATTGGCCACTCCTGGTTTATCGAAAGTCATTTCTAGTCTTCAGTGATAAGTTAATGTATTAAAATTACAAAATATATGGATTCCGATTACTTTTTCCATGAAGAAAGTGCAAAAACGGCTACTTCCGGTTTTCTCAAGGTCACTTCCGGTTGTCATTCTTTAAGGTCATATTTCATCCAACCTTTTGTAAAAGGTCATATGGCTTTATAATGAACCAAGTTGAAGTAATAATCATTTAACCTTAAAATTGGACATTTTAGGGGCACTTACTCCTATAAGAAACCATTAGATTGTTTCAGACCAAAGGTAACATTTTTTCATTACAATAAAGCAAACATGTTGCACTTATTGTTTCATATATATCTTTAAAAGTGTTTGAGAAAATGCAAAAACAAGGAAAAGTCAAAATTGATGAACTAGACCTTGACCTTTGAATTTGACCTTGACCTCATTTTCTAAATTAGGACCTAGGGACCTCAAATAAAAAGTTTCCAGGGTTATACGGTTAACGGTTTATGAGTTAAAAAAACAAATTTATTTGGTAAGGTAGATAACTCCTATAAAATTTCAACGAATCGCTTCGATCCAAATTAGCCTAAATTTCATGAGGATGTAACAAACAATTTAGAAAAAGAATTTTGTCCATATCTTTTTTTGTTACGAAGGAGATGCACACACTTGATAAACAGTGAATAGGGAGATAACTCTTACAAAGAAAATTGTTCGGCTTAGAATGGGTGAGAATAGAAAGCGCATAAACTGTATATTATATAAGAAATATCTTAGCGACATATTGCGAAACAAAAATTTTACGCGATAACAAAATTTGGCGGAAGAAAAAAATAATAATAATCAGAGCAAATACAATAGGTCTTTCCACAGAAAAGAGGAAAGGCATAATAATAAAACCAGCGCTATAAAACCAGGTTCAATCCACCATTTTCTACATTTGAAAATGCCTGTACCAAGTCAGGAATATGACAGTTGTTGTCCATTCGTTTGATGTGTTTTATCATTTGATTTTGCCATTTGATTAGGGACTTTCCGTTTTGAATTTTCCTCGGAGTTCAGTATTTTTGTGATTTTACTTTCCACCACTGTATGATTTCAGTTTTTATCTAATCGTTTAAAATTTTAAAGCTTGATATCATATTCATCGTATTTCTAGTATTTATAGTTATGTACTTTCCAATAAATAGCTAAAAGTTATCATTTAAACAAATTTGTTAACCTGCTATATTTTGGTACCGAAAGAGGATCTCACCAGGACTACTACTTTCGTCTTGCATCGCTAAACACTATTTGATATCACATTGAAGTCATTACCTAAAATTATCAAGAATTTGTAAATTTTTCTAGTTTAAAACTTGTGACATTCTAAAACAGTATTGACTGCTGATATCATTAAGCCGTTATTTAAAAAAAAATAATAGTATAAGTTTAAATATTTACTCGTGACTGTGGCAGCATCATAAATCAAATGAAATTATCGACACGATTTTAATATCTTTGTTGGTGTAGCATATTCAAACATGATTTTGATATTGGAATTGTTAATACTGAGGATCTGTGCATAGAAAGTCGCTTGCCCCACGAGAAATTACGTTTAAGGTTAAGACGAAAGTTAGATATATTTTCCTCTAGCTCTATACGTTATCATTTTTGTCATAATATTAATTATTAGAATCATTATCATTATTCTTCTATGCATGCTATTTTGTCTGATTGATGTGCTATAAACGGATAAAGATCTTAATAGAGCTAATTCGTATTTGTAACTGTGTGCATAAAGCCACTTTTAATACAATTTACATACTTATCTAAACATCCAGTAGCTTTTTGCTAATGTTCATGATGTAAATAATCAAAATTGAATTTTCCTATCAGATTCTACTTTCAACTTACATGTGTAATTTGACCTGGGAACATAGGGCATGATTACGTATGTAGTATTTGGTTAAGCACAATGCATCTGATTTATGAAAATGTAATCCGGAAATTTATACAGAATGTTATAAACTTAAAATAAAGCTTGATTTCATATTCAACGTATTTCTAGTTTTCATTGTAAGAAGTGTTTCGTTTGATATACTACTCATATAATTGTTGTGAAGAAACATCCATTCCCATATACACCCTCCTGTCCTGCAAAAGCAGTAAAAAGTTGTTCGGTGATAAGTATATCCCTTATCCTTTTTTCATATTCATAGTTCCAGTTGATCTTTGAAACAAAAGAACTAAAAAGACCTAAATGGCAGGTCATCTCAAAATCTGAGAACATACTTTCCTCAATATACACAGTAAATATAAAAACATTCCCGACTTCATCGCCATTGATTACATAGAAACTAAAACTGAAGCGTGACAGGGGCAGAATATTATACAATGCACTTCACATTATGTACTTCCTCTGTTGCTTTTCATTTGTTAATGAGTTTCTAGTGATGTTGGAGTTTTTGCTATTATACTTGCAATGCCCTTTTTGTTAAAGATGTATTTTGTTTGCGATGTTGTGATGTTAGAGTACTCATTAATTAGACTACTTAATGGTATGTAAAAAAAAAAAGGATTCTCAGTCAAAATTTATTTATTATTTAAGAGTTTATTGTGGTGTCAGTGTTTCACTACGCGTTGAAAGCTTAGTAAAGACATTGACATGAAACATTCAAACTAAAACCTTCAAAGTTAATATCCGTCAGTCAAGGTGAATATGTTAGTATAATTCAATTCTCTTCGCAATGTGTTTATTGTTTTCATGCTACGTATATTTATTTAAGAAATAATTCTTTCATGACATGTTCTATGCTCATTTTAACATGGGTAGGCATTATATTTGTCAATATCGTAATACTCAGCGTAAGCGAGGTGTTAAATGTTGACAAATATAATGAGCATAGAGCAGGTCATGATAGAATTATATCGATTCTAATAGGAAAATTTTGAACGTTTATACTTCGAGGCGGATCTATAATACACGCTCCGAAAGGCAGCCATTTTGATTTGATGAACCAAAAACGTTATAGAAAATCATCAGTTTGCCTAATAAAAATGAACAGATACATGTACACTTACTTTTAGAATGATTTTATTAAATTTCCTAGCGAGCAACACCAACACAAATGTCCATTTTGATCTCTGGTGTTGTTGTTTAAAATTCAACTGACGTTGCACTTTCAATTGTGACGTCAATCACGTGCAGCCCATGTTTTTTTTGAAATTAGAACATGGCTTTGTATTCAAAGCTAAAGAAGAACGACATATTAGAATCCACGATACACAATGTCATCGGCTGCTAGCAGTCTGTTCGATATTCAAATTTTCCTAGTCAAAAGTCATCAAAATGTGATAATAAGATTACATAAAATAATACAGTCATATTTAAAGGAGAAAAAAGACATGTAGGAAATCGTT